CCGTCGTCCCCCCCGTGTGGGGGAGGGGCCCGCCCCTACAAACGCTTAAACTAAGCCCACGGGCAGGCCGGGTGGGACCCTCGACCCCTTTCCAGCCGCGCCTCAGACATCCCGGGGACAGCCAGCGTGGGCCAGCTCAGCCCCCGGGGCCCGGCCCCTGAGCCGCCGGACCGACTGCTCTCTCCCGGGCTGGGCTTGGAAACGATGAAGATGCGAATGAAGATCTCAAAGAAGATGCGAGATACTGAACTTGCACAAGAGGGGCTGAATCATTCCCCGTTCCCCAAATGTTAAAAGAAAACAAAACCCGCTTCTGGACAGACAAGAGCAACATCTTTGCAGGCAAGGGTGTAAAGAAGTGCTTATGCCCCTGCCCGAGAAATGCCCGTAATCCAATAATCCTGCCCTAATTCCAGCCGTTCTGACTCAAACGAGCGCAGAACTTGCCGCCGTGCCTCCCCTGCCTCCCTTCCAGGGGCATTTCAGACCCTCACTACTCCCCCCCTTCCGAGGAGCTTGGTTTATCAGCTCTCCCCAAAGGATCGTCAGGGGCACAGACCAAAACGTTTTGTGGACCCTTATCCCGACACCAAAACCTCCCGAATATGGACAAACATTGACTTTCACCGCTGATAAAATCTTGTAGCTAAGCAAACACCTACAACCTTTGATGTTCTTGCACTTGCCAAGAGATCATACGGTTAATTAATACTAACTGCACTTCCTACATCAAATTTTCCCTTCAAGCTTTCTTCAATTGCCTTAATGATGGTCATTTACAACGGAGTAATTAGTGCAAAGAAAGGCTTCCAAAGGCATTAATTACCTCGGGTACCTCAGTGATTTTCTTAAGTAGGAATTGGCCTTCCCTGATTTGGAGCACCATTTTTCCTGCCTAGAGTGGCCGGGGGAGAGCGCTCAGCGGGTAGCTGCGGGTACGGACGGACGGATCGACCGACGGACCGACCGCTGCCGCTCCCCCGCCACCGCCGGCTGGTGGGTAGGGCTAACCCGGGGGCGCTGCCGCCCCCCAAACAAACAACG